TTTTTTTTTTTTTTTTTTTTTTTTTTGCGGTACGCGGGCCTCTCACTGCTGTGGCATCTCCCATTGCAGACCACAGGCTCCGGACGTGCAGGCCCAGCGGCCGTGGCTCATGGGCCCAGCTGCTCCACGGCATGTGGGATCCTCTGGGACCAGGGCACGAACCTGTGTCCCCTGCATCGGCAGGCGGACTCTCAACCACTGCGCCACCAGGGAAGCCGTCCCTACTGAATCTTGAGGGATCTGAAAGTTTGGGATGATAGAGGAAACATTATATTCATCTTGATACTTTCATGATTTGTAATGATGTCTTGTGATAGAATTTAATCTGTTTGCACAGCACCTGCAGCAACCAGAAGTTAGATGTATTTATACGTATTATTTCTATTGACAGAAGAATAAAACTCACCTCTTCAGAGATGTTGGACTTTTTTTCTTTAGTCTACAATTAACATTGACATATCCTTTATGAAAGAACCAGTTGGAATAACAAAAGAATTCCTTTAGCAGCTGTTTTTTATCAGTTGGGTAAAATTACAGCATAACCATTTCAGAACTTAATGACTATAGCAAGTGTGACTTAATCTTTTGTGTGGCCATTACTAAACCTATTTAGAAGGAGTATAGCATTCTGTCAGTAGTTATGAGTGAGGTTCTGGCATTGAATTTTGCCTCCACCAACTTAATCTCTCTGCCTGTTACCTCATCTTTAAAGTGGAAGGAGTGATAACATCTGTCTCATAGGTTTGTTGTGAGGAATAAACGAGATAATGGTAAAGTACATCCTGGCATGAAGTGCTCAATATATGTTATTCAAATGATACTTAATGTAATCATAACTAAAAATTCTTTTTTTCCAGACATTCAGAAGTACATTTCATGCTATCAGCTTTTTAGGTGAGTAGTAAGAGCAAGTAAATGATCCATTGTGAAAATTATTCTCTGCAAGTGAAATTTTGAAACTAACAAAGTATCTTAGTTATACCTGGTGGTACAGATTAAAATGTAAAGACTTTTTTTAAGTACCTGAAATTCACCTGTTCATTTCAACCCTAATAGTTCTTTCTCTGTATTTATCTGCTTCCTTTAGCTGGTCTTCACTGCCTCTCCCAGGTACCAGTTTACCTTGAGGATTGCTTTTCCTTCTCCCACCCAGTCACCTCATCGCATATTATAAACTCAGCAACATGTTCTCATACATTAACAGCAGCCCTTTTATCTTTTTATTCCAGTTTATTTTATCATCTCTTTCTTCACTTATATTTTTTAATGTTACTTTTTGTCTATTAACTGGTTAGGTTCTTTATCTAACCTGCTTCCTATTACTTTTCCAGGGTGGAAACTTGTACTCATAGTCCTACAGATAGTAGTAGTACTCTTAGCCCTGATAGGCTATGATATTCTTAAAAACTTTTTATTGAGGTATTTACATAGAAAAGTACATGAATCAATGATGTTTCATAAAGCAAACAACTGTAACCATAAACAACATGGTGTAGTTTTGGTGAAATAGCTTTATGATTTATATAAACCATACATGAAAAATCAGCATTACTGTCTTACAGTCACACTATATGTACCATTTCTAAGGTTGTGTAAGAGTTGCCATGGAACATAGTGTTAAGGTGAGAAACACCATTGGTAGGTGTGACAGAAGGCTTAGTGTGGTCTTAAACTGCTGTACCAGAAAGGGGCACAGCTCCTATATTGCCTAATAGACAATGCGTATAAAAAATATCTTTTGAATGAGGGACTCTTGGTGGAGACTCATAAAAAGTACTTTCTTGAGGGACTCTGGGCCAGCAGTGGATTAAGGAGGGAAAGTAAAAAAAAAAGGTGATTCAATACCTTCTGGCAACTACCTTAAATAATTAGACCAACTTAATATGAGTCTTAGAGCCAAGGAAGCCATCTAATCCAGTGATGAAAAACCCATACCTAGGCCTTTTATTTATTTATTTATTTATTGGCTGCGTTGGGTCTTTGTTGCTGCACATGGGCTTTCTCTAGTTGTGGCAAGTGGGGGCTACTCTTCATTGTAGTGCATGAGCTTCTCACTGCGGCAGCTTCTCTTGTTGCAGAGCACGGGCTCTCGGCACGCGGGCTTCAGTAGTTGTGGCACAGGGGCTCAGTAGTTGTGGTGAGCAGCCTCTAGGGTGCACAGGCTCAGTCGTTGTGGCACGCAGGCTTCAGTAGTTGTGGCTTACGGGCTCTAGAGCGCAGGCTCAGTAGTGTGGCACATGGGCTTAGTTGCTCCGCAGCATGTGGGATCTTCCCAGACCAGGGATCGAACCTGTGTCCCCTGCACTGGCAGGTGGATTCTTAACCACTGCACCACTAGGGAAGTCCCTCAGCCTTTTAGCTTTACAAAATTAGGGGATGGGGGGAAGAACTGGTTAGTGATAGGGCAAAACTAGAAGAATCCGGATTTCTTGAGCTCTAATCCAACAGCATACTATGCTGTTTCTTTCTTGTTTTAAATCAGGGGTCCCCAACCCCTGGGCCCTGGACTGGTACCGGTGCGCGGCGGGTGAGTGAACAGAGCTTCATCTGCCGCTCCCCGTCGCTCGCATTACCACCTGAACCATCACCCCCCACCCCCATCCGTGGAAAAACCGTCTTCCACGAAACCCGTCCCTGGTGCCAAAAAGGTTGGGGGCAACTCTTTTAAATGACGTAGATGGAACATGTTAAAAACAAAGTCTTCTGATACCATACTTCATGGAATCCGAGCTGGATAAGCTTTAATAACCAGTTTTATGTTTCTGATACAGAGGGTGGCAGAGTACAGCTCCATGGCCTGTTTTTATATGGACCTCTATGAATAGTTAATATATTTTTTAAGAGTTAAAAAAAAAAGAAGAAGAACAATGGAGGAATATGTAACAGAGACTGTCCAGCAAAGCCTAAGATATTTACTATCTGGCCGTTTATAGAAAAAGTTTGTCAATCCTGCTCTGATACATTGGTTGCAAAGTTTGCCACTGAAATACACTGTTTCCCTTATCTCAGAAATCTAGGGGGAATTTGGAAAACAGCCCATTGAAGCCTAAAACTTAAAGTCACTTTTAAAAAATTGCACAGTTTAACATGAATTCTACTGTACAGTATATCTATTTCTACAAAAAAAGAAAACTGCCCCCCTTCCCAGAAGCTTCACATAAAAATCAGTGCTTGCACAGAAGACGTACACTTTTATCCTGTTGTTTTATATACCCTGGTGTATTGCATTATGTCCCAGTTTGAGGAGCTCAGGAGTGGACCATCCTAGAGAAACACAGGAATAAACTCTTGTATTTAGATTTTTCATGTTGGAATAAATAGGTAAGATGGAAGGATCTGTTCGATGAGCTGAATTATCCCCCTTTGGTAGGTGGAACACTTTGTAAGTTAAAAAGAAAAAATATATTGCCTATTAGGATATGTTTTTTCCAGTTTTATGTAACTAAATTTTTTCAGTGTGTAGATTAGAATTACCAGTAAAAACCTATTACAAAAAATAGTATTTGTCAAAGATTTTGCATAATAGATATTACATCATAGAAAAGAATATTGTTGATCTTGATGAATGTTAAAAAGAGGAGAATATTATTTGCAATCCCTGGAGGGGAAAGAAAGCTGAAAGTAAATGCTTTCGAATCTTTTAGAATTATTTTTCAATTCTCCCTAAATCTTTGACATTCCAGCTACAGAACAGAGGTCACTAAACTAAACCAATACCTATCCTCCACCCCCCAGCCCCCCACAACAAAAAACAACCAACTCCTAAAGCACTTCTCTTAATTTAAGAATAGCTTTTGGAGGGCTTCCCTGGTGGCGCAGTGGTTGAGAATCCGCGTGCCGATGCAGGGGACACGGGTTCGAGCCCTGGTCCAGGAAGATCCCACATGCCGTGGAGCAGCTAAGCCCATGAGCCACAACTACTGAGCCTGCACTCTAGAGCCCATGAACCACAACTACTGAGCCCACATGCCACAACTACTGAAGCCCGTGCGCCTAGAGCCCATGCTCCACAACAAGAGAAGCCACCAAAATGAGAAGCCCGTGCACTGCAACGAAGAGTAGCCCCCACTCGCCGCAACTAGAGAAAGACCGCGTGCAGCAATGAAGACTCAACGCAGCCAGAAACATTAAATAAAATCATAAAATAAATAAATTTATAAAAGAAAAGGATAGCTTTTGGAATTAGCAATGAATAAATTGTCTTTTTGGTATTGTGCTGCTTCATTACTCACATTCTTTTGTATGTATCATTATTGTAATAAAAAGTTTTAATGAATAAATTGTGAACTAGCTATGTGAACTTACAAATACCTGTATTTAATGGAGAATTTGTTTTGTTGTAGGTTAAAAAAAATGTGGTACGCAAACTTATCCTTTAAAGTTCCTCCACTCCTTTTCCTTTTTCATTGCTTATGGACCGCATATTCCTACCACTTTAAGTCTGTTAATTTGAGAACTTTTTCTCCTATTTAATTTAGAACTTCATCTAACAGGCAAGTAAGTATATGGATTTTGGTTGGGTAGTTGGGCTAGGAGTAACTACAATTGAAAGTGCTAATAAAATCATTCATATTTTTAGCTTATTTGAAATGCCTTTAATTTTGGCTTTTACAGCTTTTATAATTCTTCTGGTGAAGTAAATGAGCGAGCGCTGAAGAAAATATTATCAAGTGTCAAAAAGGTATTCCCTGATTTACCTTTCTTTTTTTCATATTATATGTATTATTTTCAGCTCGTAAAAACATGTAATACTTTGACAGAACTTTTAAGCAGCATTTGTCTTCACAATGTCCTATGTAAAGCAGGTGAGGAAAGGCTTGTTCTTTCCAGAAATTCAAAGGGGTTTCCCTGAAAGCAAAGCTAGTCATTAAAAATCTTCATCTTGTTCTTATCCTCTTGACTACTCTGATTTACATTGATCTTATCCTATTCTACATTCTAACCATACCCCTTCCCAGTACCACATACTCTAGGACTTAATCCATTGCTGTTCTTTTACATAGCTATGTTACTATTTTTCCTAGTGCAGGGATGATTTCCTCTACAGCACCTAATTTGGATCCTCTGTAGCCCACTTGGTGTTCAGTTAAAACTTGCTGAATGATCAAAATAGATTTTTTTTTTCCAAATACATTTTTTCTTGGTACTTTTTTCCTTTTAAAACTTTTTGAGGGACTTCCCTGGTGGCACAGTGGTTAAGAATCTGCCTGCCAATGCAGGGGACACGGGTTCGAGCCCTGGCCCGGGAAGATCCCACATGCCGCGGGGCAACTAAGCCCATGCGCCACAACTACTGAGCCTGCGCTCTAGAGCCCGCGAGCCACAACTACTGAGCCCGTGTGCTGCAACTACTGAAGCCTGCGTGCCTAGAGCCCGTGCTCTGCAACAAGAGAAGCCACTGCAATGAAAAGCCCGCGCACCCTAACGAAGAGTAGCCCCCGCTTGCCGCAACTAGAGAAAGCCCATGCACAGCAACGAAGACCCAATGCAGCCAAAGATAAATAAATAATACTAACAACACATTTGTTTAGCATGTTATAGTTTACAAAACCCTTTAATATGATCTTAATCTTGGAACCAACTCTGTGGGGTAGGTGATAACATTCCCATATAAATTTCAATTAAAAGCTATTGGGTTCAGTTTACTTACTTAACAAACCAAGTATCCATACAGGAAGTTAACTAGTTTTCATTGGTGGTTTCTTCATTTAAATTTTGACTAAGGGTTAAAAATGTTGACAGTAAGTGCCATAAGAGAAACTACAGGAAGTTAAGAATTTATTTTCTTTAATCTGTATTGAATAAAATTGTAGCCTGGTAAGTAAATGGAAAGTAATTTAACTGCAAGTCAGTTTGCATGCTTTATAAAAGGTAAGGTGTATTCTTAAGTGTACATTTTGTTTAATATAGGCCCCAAATCTTGGTAAATATTAAGAAAGCCATTTTTTTAATTTATTTTTTAAATTTTATTATTTATTTATTTTTTGGCTGCTTGGGTCTTCATTGCTGTGCACGGGCTTTCTCTAGTTGAGGCGAGCGGAGGCTGCTCTTCGTTGCGGTGCGCGGGCTTCTCATTGCGGTGGCTTCTCTTGTTGAGGAGCATGGGCTCTAGGTGCATAGGCTTCAGTATTTGTGGCACGTGGGCTCAGTAGTTGTGGCTCCCGGGCTCTAGAGCGCAGGCTCAGTAGTTGTGGCGCACGGGCTTAGCTGCTCTGCAGCATGTGGGATCTTCCCGGACCAGGGCTCGAACCCATCCCCTGCATTGGCAGGCAGATTCCCAACCACTGCGCCACCAGGGAAGTCCCAAGAAAGCCATTTTTTTTTTAAGTTTATTTATTTTATTATTATTATTATTATTATTTATTTTTTTTTTTTTCTTGCGTTATGCGGGCCTCTCACTGTCGTGGCCTCTCCCTTTGCGGAGCACAGGCTCTGGATGTGCAGGCTCAGCGGCCATGGGTCACGGGCCCAGCTGCTTCGCGGTATGTGGGATCTTCCCGGACCAGGGCACGAACCCGTGTCCCCTGCATCGGCAGGTGGACTCTCAACCACTGCGCCACCAGGGAAGCCCAAGAAAGTCATTTTTAAGGTTGCCAGTTTTACTGCTTGATTATGACAGTAAGATACATAATAACTGTAACCATTAAGGTATACACCTGATGTTTTTCTGTATTTTCTTTCAGGATGTGGTTGGTTGGTATAAATTCCGACGTCATTCAGACCAGATCATGACATTCAGAGAGAGACTGCTTCACAAAAACTTACAGCAGCATCTTTCAAGCCAGGAACTTGTTTTTCTGTTATTAACACCGAGTATAATAACAGAAAGCTGCTCTACTCATAGGCTGGAGCATGCATTATATAAACCTCAGAAAGGGTAAATGTTGGCCAGTCACTGGCTGTTTTCAGCTAACAGAAAAATGTACTCAATATTTTTATTGTACTTTTTATGGCTTACAACTATTTTCATATATTGTTGCATTAGATTGTCACAATAACCCTTTTTAGCCTTTCTTACCATCGGTTCTTTATATGGGAGAGTGAAGGTCAGATAAGGAAATTAGAAGCCCAGTATGGAATGATGACTTGTGTTTCTGGCACTGAGGATTTGCTCTTATTTACCATAAGGTGGAAAAAATATGCATGCTTTAGGTATTGGTTGCTAAGGAATATAAATGTAGAACTGAAGTCTGCATACCTGAGCAGCTTTTCTCTAACCTCTGCCAGGAAGCAGGGTGGTTCTTGAGGATCCACCAAAATGAGTTAATAGGACTCCCCGCAGGTTATATAGACAACATTTTCATGGAGTATGAGAATGAAGTTAAAAGAGTACCAAGGAAGAGTAGTTTTATCATTCACAAAAGATAGGATGAATCGCAACAATACTGCCTTTATTTTTACATGTGGTGATCAGTTAAAATAACCATTAAAGTATTTTTTCACAGTTATCTTACACTATGCACATTTCACAGTTTTTAAAAGCTATTTGCCTCAAGTCAGTAAATTCTGTCACGGATAAGTAGTAAGGAATGGGGTTTTGTTTTTTAATCTTGTAGGGGAAAGGTAGTCTATATACTAAGTAGATGCTAATCTTTCACTTTATTTTAAATTTATTTTTAAAAATTTTATTTCTTCAGGCTTTTTCATAGGATACCTTTAGTGGTGGCCAATTTGGGCATGTCTGAACAACTGGGTTATAAAACTGTATCTGATTCCTGTACGTCCACTGGTTTTAGTCGAGCAGTAAAAAGACACAGGTGAGATTCCTCAACTGCTTCCCCACTACACTTAACTCCTATTCATTTTTTGAAGTTAATTATTTTTATTACACAAGAATAAAAATGAAAGGAAAACTGACTAATGACATTACTCAAGTAAACCAGACAAATTTCTCAGTATTTCCTTCTAGCACCTGTCCATTTATAAAATACAAAAGAGAGGGGCATTGTTGTATAGCCTACATATTTTAACATATTTATTCTAAGAATAAGGAGCTAGCCTCAAAATAATTTTCTAAGGCAGCAGTTCAGATTAAAGGCAAGAAATTAGATTGGATATGAAATAAAGACAAAAAATGAGGCTTTAGCCAAGACTTACACTGTAGACTGCTGAGCTATAACTTTTTTGTGGGCAATATGGGAATAATTAATGTCAGAAATAACAACACTGGTACTACAAGATACTTACTAAGTGTAAACTTTATGAGAATAATGGACTAGATTTTATTTATTTTTGTATTCCCACAGTGCTTAACAGTGTCTTATAGAAACTGAATACCACATTTCATTGATACTAAGACACAGTTTTACATTTATCTCAAAGTGGGATTTTTACAAAACATGCCTTAGAATTGTTTTTCTTTTTTCTTCGTGGTATATAAAATAATGTTGCCTCTTTCAATCAATGATGACTTAAACTCAGTAAAATAATTGACTGATCCTATTGCCAAGAAAGAACCACCCCCACTTCAGTCTTTATCTGTTTTCACTTAACCTCTTTTTTGAGTCCTGGAAATAGTACTTAGGAGGCTAAAAAGTTTGCTGAGGTGAAGATAGATAACTAGGTTTTCTGGTTGGTTTTACTTACTCTGTAAATAAGTAGGTTGACAAAATTATGGTCCCTACAAAGACAGTAAAAGAATCATCTGTAGTTCCTCAACTACGAAAAATTTTTCATTGTATCATTAAATGAGTTCTGTACATTTGCCTGAGGAAATGGTAATATTTTACAGCTCTGAATTTTTTAAAGAAGATGGATCTTTAAAGGAGGTACATAAGATAAATGAACTGTATGCTTCTTTACAAGAGGAATTAAAGGTAAGTTAAAAAAACATTTAAAGATCACCTATAGAGTTCATATCACATTGCTCACTGAATATATGTTTATGGATAACCTGACAGTTGATTAGACATAAATTTTTGTATTAGTTTAGCTTCAGTAACAAAGGCCTCCATCTTGGTGAGCTACGAAAACAAAAGTTTTGTCTCACTCACATATCTTGGCTGCAGCTCTGCTCCTGTTCTAAATGTCATGTTCATTCTAGGATCCAGCCCATCTGTGGGACATGCTTTTCTCATGACAAAGGGAAAAGAGCAAGAAAGCTGATGGAAATTCACAACAGCTCTTAGAACTTCTGCTCAGAGCTGGCCTGTCACTTCCACTCACATTTCATTGGCCAGAGGATGTCATGGCAATAGGCAGGGATATATAACCCTTTTACAGGATAAAAAAGGGAGCAAATATTTGGGAACAAAAAAGTCTGCAACAGTACTAAGTTCTACCTCATTGTGTCCATTCAGGTCCCTTGAGGGGAGGGAACAAGAGTGGCAGGGAGATTTGCAATGTAAGTTTGACACGAGGAAGGAGACAGGGAAAGGAGAATGATTGGGTAGGAAGAGCTTTAGACTGCAAGGCCTGAAAAATTTCAGCCAGGCTGATGGAGTCTTTGAGCAAAGGCATCCTACAGAAATAGAATTATACTGATATCCTCACTGTGCTCAGTCGGTGGCTAAGAGTAAGCTAGGGGAAGCATGACCTAAGCACAAGCACAGTAGTGGACCCAAAAAGATGGCACCTGGAACTGTCAGTCAGCTCTGCTTCCTGCAAATGGAGATCTGAGTAGTATATTCCATGGCCACCATACTCACCAATAGAGCACACTAAGAGAAATGGGGTTAATGCATTTTACACACTGATAATATTGCACACTGTTTTTTAATATGATAATACAGGAATTTTAGAAAATAGGAAAAGATCCAGAATCCTACCATTGTAACTTAACTCTTTGCACTTTCCGATTTTCTCCAGTTTCCCCCTAATGTATACATGCTTTTACATTGTTGACAGTGATGGGAACATACAAATTTGTGTCATGATTTTTATTTGATGTACAATTAAACACTTTCCACATTTTAGTTCTTTTTAATAGCAGTATATTTCTTAGAGCAGTATATTAGAACTCTAATGTGAAAAGTACCAACTTGGGGACTTCCTAGTGCCACAGTGGTTAAGAATCTGACTGCCACTGCAGGGGACATGGGTTCGAGTCCTGGTGCAGGAAGATCCCACATGCCGCAGAGCAAATAAGCCTGTGTACCACTACTGAGCCTGCGCTCTAGAGCCCACGAGCCACGACTAGTTAGCCTGCATGTCACAACTACTGAAGCCTGCGCACCTAGAGCCCGTGCTCCACAACAAGAGAAGCCACCACAATGAGAAGCTCGCACACCGCAAGAGAGTAGCCTCTGCTCGCCACAACTAGAGAAAGCCTGCACGCAGTAATGAAGACCCAACACAGCCAAAAATAAATTAACTTAAAAAAAAAAAAAAGGGGCTTCCCTGGTGGCGCAGTGGTTGAGAGTCCGCCTGCTAATGCAGGGGACACGGATTCGTGCCCCGGTCCGGGAAGATCCCACATGCCAAGGAGCAGCTGGGCCCGTGAGCCATGCCCACTGAGCCTGTGCGTCTGGAGCCTGTGCTCCACAATGGGAGAGGCCACAACAGTGAGAGGCCCGCATACCGCAAAAAAAAAAAAAAGTACCAACTTGGGCTAAATTAGGGAATGTAGAGGTATGTGAGAGGAACTGTGGGCAGAAGGCCACTGAGCTCTAGGAAGGAATTGGAACCAGGAGCTTGAATGCCATCAGAACTTTATCTCCTGGGAGTTCCCTGGTGGTCTAGTGGTTAGGATTTGGCGCTTTCACTGCCATGGCCAGGGTTCAATCCCTGGTCAGGGAACTGAGATCCCACAACCTGCACCGAGTGGCCAAAAAACAAACAACAAAACTAACTCTCTCCCTTTGTGTCTGCCTGTTGGTTTCCTTCACAGTATTTACAGATCTTGCTGTTTATTCACCCACTGGCTGACCGAAGAGCTAACCTATAGCTTCTGCATTTAATCTCTTCTATTCAAGAGATTAGGATTTGCCAGTTGGCTATTGTAATTATCTCTGCTTGGGTCAGCTACGGTGAAAGTTGGTGAAAGGGTTACTGGTGAACTCTTATGGCAGGATGAACAAGTTCATGAGAAATAGGCTGGGTAGATGTGCCATGAAGTATCCACTAAAACTGGCTCTAACAACCCATTACACTATAATTGGAAATTAGTTACTTTTGATTTGACACTATTCTAAGAAACATCATCTTATATAAATTTTTGTTACTGATTCAAGATATATTCCCAAAATGAAATCACTGAGTCAAAGGGTATTAGTATTTAAAAACTGATGATACATAAGGCCATTCTGCTTTTCAAAAGTAGTTTTACAGGAATTAAAATCTTCAGTAGTTTTCTTTTGTAATAGTGAAAGTCACTTTGTTATTGGCAGTTTCTTAAATGTTTGCAATAAGTATGCATCTCAAAATAGCACAGTATTTTTTGTTTTGAAACAGTTAAATATTTTTGTTTTTTATTTCTGTGTATTATCTAGGAAATAACTTGAATGATAAAACTTTGTATAAATAGGAAGTTAATATATATGGAAAGCATTTTGTAACCTATGAAGCACCATACAAATGCTTGTTGGTGAGCTCCTCCAGAAAATAGCAAAATAAAATAAAATTTTTATAAAGGAAAATATTTGATGTTATACACCATGAAGGACTTTATATTATTTGTGAACCTAGATTGTAGTATACAATTTGGAAATTTATCTATGCTCTTAAATTACTTTATTTTCCAGAGTATATGCAGTAAAGTAGAACACAGTGAGAGAGCAGTAGAGAAACTACTAAAGGATATAAACAGATTAAAACGAGAAATTAAAAAAAGAAAGCAAGCACAGATTCAAGCAACACGTAAGTAAGAAGTTCACATATCACTACTTTCTGTGCTTTGAAGAAAAATTCTCACTGATTGGAATTATGGATGAGCTGCTTGCACTAACTGATCAATTTGTTCACCTTAGGATTAAAAATAACTTTCATTAATACTCTTAAATCCCACTGAACAGAGAACATGGTACTACTATAGATATACTACCTTGATGTTAAAAAATATAACAACTTTAATTTTCTCTGAGGATATTGTGGCATATAAATTTGGGATTATCATTTCTCTTAGTTTAGATAATTTGATATGATTCTTTAAAGTCTCTGACTTTACTAACAAACATAACTATAAAACCTTTGTAGTATAAATACTGTAGGTTGAAATATTTGTTTGTTTCTTTAGGAGAGAAGAATGTCCAGAAAGACCCTCAGGAGAACATTTTTCTTTGTCAAGCTTTACAGACCTTTTTTCCCGATTGTGAATTTCTTCATTCATGTGTTATCTCCTTGAAAAATAGACATATTTCTAAAAGTAGTTGTAATACCAACCACCATCTCAGTGTGGTAGACAACCTGACCCTAATGGTGGAATATACTGACATTCCTGAAGCTAGTCCAGCTGGTAGTGCGCTGCAAATGATTAAACGTAAAGCTTCAGGTACAGATGGTGGATGGCAATTCAAGAAGTCACGGCTGTTAGAGATACAGAACAAACCATCTAAAACAGATACTGATAGTAGTAACCAAGAAAAGGCATCCGCAGTGAGCAGCCCAGAAACAGATGAAGAGATTGAGAAAATGAACGGTTCTGGTGAATATCCACAGTCTCCTACCTTTTGATTCTTTTAGACCGAAAGGAGATTTTTCATCAGATGAAGGGTAAAGCCAAACATGCCTATTGTTTTTACTATGTTCAGCTCTTTGCAGTAACACATAGGTAAGTTCTAGTTCATTTATTTTATAAAGTACTTTAAATTGAGTCAGTTCAGAATTTGAGTACAGAACAAAGCCTGGTAATGCAATATGTTTGGGATCAGCAGTTGGTTAGTTAGGTGAAAAGGCCAGTTAAGTGGGACTCAAATGATACATAAATAAGGTGTCTATCAGAGATTTCACCTTAACATAAAGCAGAAGTGTACATTCGTCAAACTTTTGTTGTAGGGCCAGGAACTTTTTTACAAATGTGTTGGAGTTCCTATGTAAATCAAACCCATTACTTACCCTATATAATCCCCAATTTTAGTTTCTTTAAAGAAATTTGCAAAGCAAGCTAAGTACAAAATGCTACTAGGTTTTTTCATTTTCCATTCCCAATCTTATTTGTCCTAACCACACCTAATTTGACAACTATTTTTTTAAAAAAGCTAGTTATCAAGTCTTCTCAGAGCATTTACTTGGTTTTCACTGCAACTGAAACTTTATTTTTAATGCTCATATTCATCACTACAAAAATACAACTGATAAGGTCTGGGAACAAAATAGATGACTCTTGGTAATGTAGAACTCAACAGGTTAAGAGTCATGGGCTTCCGTGTGATTTTTAAGGAGGATGTAAAGCCCCTGTTTAATCCAGTGAGTTGGTTAAGTGGAGGTTGGTTAAGAGAGCTTTTACTGTTTGTTTTTTCTGTTTATTCTTTCCATAACAGAATTTCCCATGAAGCATATACATCACATGATGCCTTCATGCTTTACTCACTGGGTGAAATGCTGAACCCACATGTTGACCACTGCTCTTCCATCACTTATTTCCTAAATGATACAGCAAATTCATAGCTAGTATTAAAAACTATCATCTTTTATCTATGTGTTAACATGCATTAGTTACCATGGAGTGTTTATGAAGCCCACATAATACCAGGGATGATTTGTGCAAATAATGAGTTGCTGGGCTTCCCTGGTGGCGCAGTGCTTGAGAGTCCGCCTGCCGATGCAGGAGACGCGGGGT